TGGGTGACAGAGTGAGACCCTGTCTCAAAAAAAAAAAAGATGTCAAGACAAGAAACTATATAAGGTGCGGCAGTCGTGGTGGTGTTTATTTTTTTAAACACCCTCACCACCCCACAGCAGTTCCCCATGGGTCTTGGTAAATGTCTGAATTACAGAAATTTTGTTCCTTTAGGATTCAGTGCGCCTCCTAGCTGTGGAAGCTTGTGTCAGTATTGCCCAGTTATTGTCTCAGGATGACCTTGAGACTTTGGTGATGCCTACACTTCGACAAGCAGCAGAAGATAAATCTTGGCGAGTTCGCTATATGGTGGCTGACAAATTTTCAGAGGTAAAATGATCATTTTTAGGTACTAAGGAAATAAACCTGAACACCCATAGATTTGCTGTCATACCCAAAGTTTCTGAATTCTTTTCAGTGGGAAGTGTGGCAAAAATATGTACTTACAGATTGCACAGTTTTGTTTTGTTCTTGTTAATTCTTTTGTTATTATACATTAAAACCCGTTCAAATTCTTTTATAGCTCCAGAAAGCCATGGGTCCTAAAATCACCCTAAATGACCTCATCCCCGCCTTTCAGAACCTACTTAAAGACTGTGAAGCTGAAGTCCGGGCGGCTGCTGCCCACAAAGTAAAAGGTTAAGGAGTTCAATTTATGTTGGAACATGTGTTGTTCATTTTGGTGCATTTCTTTTTAGTGAATTTTGCATGTTTTTTGTTCTAGAATATGTTTTTAAAATACATAGGGATGTTTTCAGTGTGTGGAAATGTCACATTGTCACATAAAGATAATCCCTTTATGTTTAAAACCAATAAATCATTTTGTCTTGTTTTTGTAAAAGAAAATGCTTTTCAGATTGGATTGGTGTGATACGCAGTGGCATAAGGATTTCATGAAAAAAGTTTATTTAGAACAAGAGCTATTTTCCTTATTTGCTTCAACATATAATGTAATTGAAATTGTTGATAAACCTGGTTAAATGTCCTCATTTGGCTCTTTGTAAATGGCCCTGTGAAAGCATTCTTCTTTTCTATTTATCTTTTAGAACTTGGTGAGAACTTGCCCATTGAAGATAGAGAGACCATAATTATGAATCAGATTCTGCCCTATATAAAGGTAAACCTGACTTTAGTTTATTTTGTTTCACTCTGATTTGCATAAAGGTAAACCTTAATCTCATTTTTTTTGTTTGTTTGTTTACCTTAAAGCTTTTTGAGTTTAAAGGTTGATAGGGAATGAATGGGGAAGATGTGTTAATGTGCAACATTGTTATTTATCACTTATTAGCCTACTGTAGTTGTAAAATGCTCTTTGGTGCATAGGTTTATGTTACCTAACTAGTAGTCTGAGGAAACATTATCAACTAATCAATATTGAAATAGTGCTGTCTTTAAATTCCTTGGGGTTGGGCATGGTGGTGCATTCCTGTAATCCAAGCACTTTGGGAGGCTGAGGTGGGAGGATTTCTTGAGCCGAGGAGTTTGAGACCAGCCTGGGCAGCATAGTGAGGCCCCATTGCTACAAAAAATACAAAAATTAGTTGAGCCTGGTGGCATGCACCTGTAGTACCAGCTACTTGGGAGTCTGAGGTGGGAGGACTGCTTGAACCCAGGAGGTTGAGATGGCAGTGAGCTATGATCATGCCACTGCACTCCAGCCTAGGTGACAGGGTGAGACCCTGTCTCAAAAAAAAAAAAAATTCAGGCCATCTTGGTGGCTTACACCTGTAGTCCCAGCACTTTGAGAGGCCAAGGTAAGAGGATTGCATGAACCCAGAAGTTCAAGACCAGCCCTGGCAATATAGTGAGAACCTGTCTCTACAAAAAATAAAAAAAATTAGCCAAGCCTGGTGGTGCATGTCTGTAGACCCAGCTACTCTGGAGGCTGAAGTGCTCGAGCTGGGAGGTTGAGGCTGCAGTGAGCCAAGGTCACACCACTGCACTCCAGCCTGGGCAACAGAGCAAGACTCTGTCTCCCAGAATAATGGTATGGAAGTTTCTGTTGTCTTGTAATAAAGGCTTTTAATTTTGATTTTATTTTAGGAATTAGTATCCGATACCAATCAACATGTCAAATCGGCTCTAGCTTCTGTAATTATGGGATTGTCTACTATTTTGGGCAAAGAGAATACCATTGAACATCTTCTACCTCTTTTTTTAGCTCAGTTAAAGGATGAGGTGGGTCTTGCTTTATGTTCTGTTGCCTTTGATAGTGATTTGATTTGATTTGATTTTGGTTTGGGGTTTCACTAAAATAGAACCCCCAAAAAGAAAATGGATAAAAAAATCATAACTTATTTTAAACCAATGACAACACCTGTGATTTTGGTTACAGGGTTATAGGTTCCTCAGAAAGTGGGCACAAGGACCCATTAAAGTAAACCTAGAAATGTTTATCACCTTCACCTGACTTTTGTTTTATACTTCCTGGTTCCTTTAAAGCTAATGTGTCTTTGTTTAAAAAGTTTCTTTTATTTGAGTTTAAATATAGTATCCAAAATTATAATGATACCTAATATTTACTGAGTAATTACTGCGTGCCAGGCATAAGCCTTAGTGCTTTGCATATATTTTTACATGTAATTCTCACAACAATCCTATGAGTTAGGTCTTATTATTCCATTTTACAGATGAGAAAGCTGAGGCCCAGAGGGTTAAAGTAACTTGAGCAAAGTCTTTCAACAGTGGCAGATCTGAAATTTGAGTGCATCAATTTAATTCCAGAGATTATGCTCTTTACCATCTTTTAGACTTTTCTTGTAGTCATTAGTGTTACAGACTTTTCATTGAAATTTCTGATTAAGATCATTTATGTTCCTTGAGTTATTTATGTACTCTCTATTATTTCTTCAAGATTATCCTTTTTTTTTTTTTTCACCTGAGTCAGTACTTTGTAATTTTAAAACTTACTTAGCAGTTTTTATCTTATCCCGACAGGAGACTGTTGGGCACAGTACTTGATTTTTATATGTGGTCTTTTGGGGCTTGTGTGCTTGCAGTGTCCTGAAGTTCGTTTGAATATCATCTCCAATTTGGATTGTGTAAATGAAGTGATTGGAATCCGTCAGCTCTCTCAGTCTCTCCTTCCTGCCATAGTGGAGCTGGCTGAAGATGCCAAATGGAGGGTCCGGCTGGCCATCATTGAGTATATGCCGCTGCTGGCAGGCCAGCTGGTGAGTATGTGTTGCTCCATGAACTGCAGGGTAGTGTCAAATAGTGACAATTTACCTTGGCAAGTAGGAGGCCTAGTAGCCTGTATGCTTACGTTTGTTTAGATGCATGAAAGTATGGCCTTGTTCTTGTTACCTGTGGGATGGTTTTTATGTTTATTAGTGCATACATTTCATTTTTTTTAAGATGGAGTTTCACTCTTGTTCCCCAGGCTGGAGTGCAATGGTGCGATCTCAGCTCACTGCAACCTCTGCCTCCTGGATTTAAGCAATTCTCCTGCCTCAGCCTCCCAAGTAGCTGGGATTACAGGAATGTGCCACCACACCCAGCTAATTTTGTATTTTTAGTAGAGATGGGGTTTTACCACATTGGTCAGGCTGGTCTTGAATTCCTGACCTCAGGTGATTTACCCGCCTTGGCCTCCCAAAGTGCTGGGATTACAGGTGTGAGCCCCTGTACCCGGCCTATTAGTGCATAAATTATAGGTTGAGTATCCCTTATCTAAATATGCTTGGGACCAGCATTTTTGGGACCAGAAGTGGATTTTGGAATATTTGTGTTATAAATACTTACCGGTTGAGCATCCCAAATTCAAAAATCCAAAGTCCAGAATGCTCCAATGAGCATTTCCTTTGAGCATCATATTGGTGCTCAAAAAGTTTTGGAGTTTGGAGCATTTCACATTTTGAATTTTTGGATTTGGGATGCTCAGTCTGTATTACAGAAACATATTTCACCTCATCACGACCGAAAAACAAAGCCATAGAATAATAAGATCAGTTTCTTGGCATATATAATGTAAATTTTATAATATTTAATGCCTTTGTGACTTAACAAATATTTAACTGAGAATAAAAGGGATTATGGTTTTAGGGTAAGTCTGATGTGACTTTTGCTCAAGGAAACTTCCCTGTTTGCCTTGTATTCTAAGTAAAATGTCCCTAGGTACCACTTGCCCTACATTCTGATTAAAGGGAGATGAGGAATCACCATATAAAAAAGAAGTACTGAAAGGCCGGGCACAGTGGCTGACACCTGTAAACCCAGCACTTTGGGAGGCAGAGGCAGGCGAATCACTTGAGGCCAGGAATTCCAGACCAGCCTGGCCAACATGGTGAAACCCCATCTCTACTAGAAATATAAAAATTAGCTGAACACGGAGGTACATGCCTGTAATCCCAGCTACTTGAGAGGCTGAGGCAGGAGAATCACTTGAACCCAGGAGGCAAAGGCTGCAGTGAGCCAAGATCATGCTACTGCACTCCAGCCTGGGCAACAGAGTGAAACTTTGTGTCAAAAAAAAAAAGTTAGTATTTTGGTCAAAGTCCACATTATCACATTATCTGTTACTGTTTGAGTGTCATGATTAGTTTTACCCTAACTAATCCCATGTTAGATAAAATTTCAAAGCTGGGTTTTATAGCCATATCCTTTCCTTTTTTTGAGTAGGTGACCTTGACTTTTCTAAGTTTGATGTACCTTTATCCCTGTTGGTAGCACTTATTACACAGTATTGTAATTGTCTGTTATAGTCTAGTTGGAGAGATGGGTGGGTGATCTCTCAATGGTACCCTGACATAGTGCCCATAATTAATTAGGCACTTAACATTTTTTATTTTGGGGGGCAGGGTCTTGCTGTTGCCCAGGCTGGTCTCAAACTCGTGGCCTCAAACGATCCTCCTGCCTCAGCCTCCTGAGTAGCTGATAATAGGCATGAGCCACTATGCATGGCCAACATTTGTTGATTGTTGAGTATTTTTTGAGAAAGGTGTGTCAGTTTACTATTGATATCACTACAATTTGTTTCCCCTTCCTCACTCCCACTTCCATTCCTTTCAGGTCACGGCATATGGAATTTGTTTTTTCTTTTCTTGAACCCCTGAATTTGTATTGTTAATTTTAGTACGTTTATGAACATGCATTATGTGAATGTCTGTGGCATTATATGTTTTATAAAATTGAAAGTATCCGATTCTTTGAAAAGGATACCAGACATATTAGTGCATAGCGAATGGGATCAGGTGAAGTTATTTTGTCATCCTTTTCCTCTGTCACTCTGAAGTGCTATGAGTCATCTTCTCTTCACTGGTGATTGTCATGGATCTACTCTTCAGAGTGGAGAGGAGCAGTGGTTAACTGATTTGCTGAAGATCAAAACTGTCTGGAAGACAGGCTGCATTTTAGTACCATTTCTTTTAACCTCTGCTCCTTCTAGACCTGGAAAGTTTCCCAGGGTTGCTAGCTCTATAGAGAGCAGTGTGAAAACAAGGCAGATGGTGTCTTTGGCTGACTTACACCTGTCTGGCAGGGGTAACATGCCTCAGTCATGGACATTTTGCTTTACAATTTTAACTGCTTGTTAGTATATATATTCTCCTTAATTTTTCTTTATCTCTAAATGTTTTTATATCAGATAGTCAATTTATAAAATTCTCTCAAGACTTTATGTATGACCTGGCTTGTGGACCATGGTAAGTAAGTATAAAATTAAACTGCAAAAACTGGAAGGTAGGCCAGGCATAGTGGCTCGCGCTTGTAATCCCAGCACTTTGGGAGGCCGAGGTGGGTGGATCACGTGAGGTCAGGAGTTCGAGACCGGCCTGACCAACATGGTGAAACCCCATCTTTACTATATAAAAGATTAGCCAGATGTGGTAGTGGGCGCCTGTTACTTGGGAGGCTACTTGGGAGGCTGAGGCAGGAGAATCGCTTGAACCCAGGAGGCGGAGGTTGCAGTGAGCTGACATTGTGCTGCTGCACTCCAGCCTGGGTGACAGAGAGATTCTGTCTCAACAACAACAACAAACTGGAAAATAAAGATTAATTAAAACTGAAGGAAAATTCTCAACCTGAAATGAAAAAGAAATCTTGGCTGACGTAATCTAAGTGTATGCCAAAATTAGTTCATTAAGATCTTTTAATACAAAGCAATTTTGGGCCGGGTGCAGTGGTTCATGCCTGTAATCCCAGCACTTTGGGAGGCTGAGGCGGATGGATCACTTGAGTCAGAAGTTAAGAGACCAGCCCGGCCAACGTGGTGAAACCCCGTCTCTACTAAAAATGCAAAATTAGCTGGGCGTGTGCTGCACGCCTGTAATCCCAGCTACTCGAAAGGCTGAGGCAGGAGAATCACCTGAACCCGGAAGGTGGAGGTTGCAGTGAGCTGAGATAGTGTCACTGTTCTCCAGCCTGGGCAATAGAGTGAGACTGTGTCTCAAACAAAACAAAACAAAACAAAACAAACACTATTTTGTCTTAATAACTGTTTTCAAAGCACTGAAACATTATATTACCTCTCTTTATTTAAAATATAGAATCACCGTCAGGAACTTCTTAGAGTTCAAAGAAGCAAGACTGTAAACGTGTAGACCCCAGAGGGAGGCACTAGGAACGTATATGTCACAGCATTCTCCCATGTGGTGTGGAAGCCCCAGGGTGAGAGGACTGTGTAAATCGGCTCCCGGAGCCCATCCCCAACCTGCACTGAAGTGGCCACCTGTTGACCGTTGGGAGGAACAAGGCTGGGAGAGCAAGCCATGCCTGGGCTATATCCTCTGTAGTCCTGGGCCTGCTTTATTCTCCCTCCAGGGCTTTCTCCTGTTGTCTCAAAAATACTGTCTTTAATTGGGGATATCTCTGTGTCTTGAGGTCAGTTGCTTTATCGCTAAGGATTTGTCATAATAGTAACCAAAAAGGGAAGACAATTGAGAATTAGTAATATTACCGACAGGTGTTTTCCTGGGTAATTCATTTTTACAGGTAATCCAGATTTGCTTGGCAGACCATCCGCAGTGAATTCTTCCTACTCTTTTGTAGTGTTGTGACTGGCTTCTGGCCACCCTGTTCTCTTTCACCTAGCAGGGCCTGTGCCAGCTCACGTATGCTTTTTGTTTGTTTGTTTATTATTTCCATCCAATAAAATAGATTTATGGTTTGTTTGTAATTCCCATGGTGTTTCCTTTCTGTCTCTTTCATGAATTCAGTTTATTTGAAAACAGCTTTTTTTAGCCTTCAGGCAATCTTGGTGTAATGTAAATAGACCATCTTTATTTCTGAATTTTGGCAAAGTATATTAATGGAATCTTCTGTATCTGTAGGGTGTGGAATTCTTTGATGAAAAGCTGAATTCTTTATGTATGGCTTGGCTTGTGGACCATGGTGAGTAGATAAAAACAAATTATTGAAAGCCTATATATCCATGATGTTCATACATTTCCTTTTAGAAAGGAATCTCAGTCTGACCAGATATTTTGCCTTAATACTGTAGGAATGAAGAAAGGCTCTAATTAAAGTTTAGTCTTCTGAATATAAATTTGATATTTCTACCAATTTTTTTGTATCTTATATTTTATTTTCTCCATTAAACAATTTATTTGCATTATTTCTTACTCAATCTATTACATTATCTTCAGGCCATCTCTTTTATATATCTACTCCTCCCTTATCTGAGGATCTTCTTTTTGACCATCCTGTAATTGGTGTCCTCAGCAGCTATACACTAGGTTGGATAGAGATTGGAATCAGATGAAAGGCCTGGGTGGGAGAAATAGCTACTTGGCTTTTTTGAGGTGACATAGAAGAGGACATCTGCAGTGAGACAGTAGAGGATTCTTAGGTGTGGGAAACATTAGCTTTGCCATAGGGATAGAGAGGGCCTGGATTTCTGGTTTGGATGAAAGGAAGACTTACCGCTTGTATTCTCACTGCTGCTGCTACAAAGCTAGGAGAGGGTGAGCTCAGGGCAGGTCAGATAGGACAGCAGGAATGAGCAGGTGACTTCCTGGTGAGGCTTCAGGTAGAGGTATATGTGTGTATCCCCTTGTGTGCCAGGCAGCAGTGGTGACAGATGGACCCTCTGTGCCAGGCCCTAGGTCCAGACTTGACAGCTTCAATGTTGTCTTAGACCTGTTCCAATGAGTGTGAGTGCCCCATGGGGTCATGTGACACTGTCCTTGAGCTTTGATTCCATGTTTTGGTTTGGTGGATATAATAGATATCCTGAGTCAGTTCCACAGTATCTTTTATATACTTTCTATACATATTTAATACATCTCTTTGTTCATCTGTGGGTGCTTATGCCTGGAAATTTGGGAGGAATGAGGATATTTGTGTCTGCTTATACGTGTAGGTGGTTTTGTTAAAGGCATATTTGCATCATATGGAGGATCATATGGTTAAGAGTGTGAAGAGGAAGGATGTGAAAAAATATGTGAAAATGTGTAAGGGTTTATATATGTGGGTATTTCCAGTGTTTTCAAACTGGATTGTAGACTTCTTTATTTCTCTTTTTCTTCTCTAAAGTTACCTTGTTGTGGCCTCTTTATTTCTTTTTAAATAAAACTTAAATTTGGCAAATCATAGGAAAGAAATACCACTTTTTAAAAAAAGTTTATGTTATATCTGATAAATATTTAATGTTACTAGGAATGATGCTTCCTAGCAGATCATTCTGTGCTTTTTTACATTTTATTTTACTTTAAGTTCTAGGATACATGCACAGAACGTGCAGGTTTGTTACATAGGTATACATGTGCCATGGTAGTTTGCTGCATCTATCAACCTGTCATCTAGGTTTTAAGCCCCACATGCATTAGGTGTTTGTTCTAATGCTCTCCCTCCCCTCACCCCTCACCCCCCTGATAGGCCTCAGTGTGTGATGTTCCCCTCCCTGTATTCATGTGTTCTCATTGTTCAACTCCCACTTGTTAGTGAGAACATGTAGTATTTGGTTTTCTGTTTCTGTGTTAGTTTGCTGAGGAAGATGGCTTCCAGCTTCATCCATGTCCCTGCAAAGGACATGAACTCATTCCATTTTTATGGCTACATAGTATTCCATGATGTATATGTGCCACGTTTTCTTTATCCAGTCCATCATTGATGGGCATTTGGGTTGGCTCCAAGTCATTCTCTGCTTTCTTTAAAAGCTGGCATTTTAGATTAAGGTGGTGTTTTATTTTGAGGAATTTTTAAAGTTCTAATATTCCACGAAGAATTAGATTCCTGACGCCTTTTCTGTGTAAGATTGCCTTCTCTATGCAACTTGATTACTCCTTCCTCTTTTCTGATTTTCTCTTTCAGTTTGGGAGCAGGAGAAACCCGTGTTTATTTCACTGCAGCAGTATGCTGAAGTGGGGACTGCAAGAGTTCCATGAACCAATAACAGCTCTGAAATTGTTCTGTACTTAATTAATCACAGGAGCTTTTTTGCTTTTGCATTTCAGATAAGTGTTATATAATGATCACTGGATCAGTCAGTTTTTGAAACTTTTTCCCTAGTGATGAAACTACTAAAAGAACCTTGTGAAAATTCCAGAGAAGTGTAAGGAAGAAAGTATCACACACCTATATTCCTGTGGTTGAGCAGACAGCTTTGATCAGAGGGAGGAATGTAGAAGGGAAATTTATTTATTTGTTATAGGAGAAAGGAGAAGGTATCAATTATTGAGCATAGATAGACATTCAAAGAAACCTTGCAGGTCAGCCAGGCCTTGAGGGGAGGTGGGGAGAAAGAGAAAGAAATAGACAAAAGAAAGCAGGAAAAGAAAGCAGGCAGAACTGTGGAATGGTTTGCATTCTTCTGAAAACAATTCAGAGGAGCCAAGAACATAGTAGGCATCTGGCCAAATAGAGTTCCGTGCAGTTAAGGTCTTGGTCAAGGCTGTGTGTGTGTGTGCCCAGTCTCTGGTTCTTCTGGCAGTGAGATCCCTTCCTATGGTAATGGCATTATGATAAAAATCTAAAGCAAGTTAAAAAAAAAAATAGTAATTTGCTGAGCATGGTGGCTCATGCCTGTAATTCCAGCACTTTGGGAGGCTGAGGCGGTGGGGGATGACTTGAGGTCAGGAGTTCGAGACCAGCCTGGCCACCATGGTGAAACCCCATCTCTGCTAAAAACACAAAAATTAACCGGGTGTATTGGCGGGCACCTGTAATCCCAGCTACTCAGGAGGCTGAAGCAGGAGAATTGCTTGAACCCAGGAGGTGGAGGTTGCAGTGAACCGAGATCTCGCCATTGCACTCCAGCCTGGGCGACAGAGTGAGACTCTATCTCAAAAAAAAAAAAAAAAAATTAATGAGAGGGGAAGACACAAATACTCTAGCTAGCTCCACTTTAGGGGGAAGGACAGGGAAAGGTTTGGGACAAAGACAAAGACTATGGATATGAAGGAAAGGAATCTGTATTACAGTAAAACAGTTGACTTGAGTTTGTTCCTTAGTGGGTCTGAGTCTTACCGCCAGGTTGCTTCTCCTGTAGACTGTCAGTTTAAGTGCTGATAATCAGTTGTATGGTGACTTGTCTATGCTGTCTTGCGTGTTCTCAACATCATTGCCCAGAAGGATCTATGAATAGAAAAAGTTGGCTATTTCTTGGTTGGAGGCTTGTATAAATTGCCTAGGACTGGGACTGTGGCTTGGATAGCTATTCCTGCCCTTCTATCATCCCAGGAAGGTTGAGCCCACCTGGGGAGAGAAGTAGAATAAGGAATCAGTACCTACCACCCTTGATTTGTTAATCTGAGCCTACATTTTGAGTCTTACTGGATTTGTAGAGTGAAGTGACACCAGGCTTGTTTTTGTTCAGTGCTGTATGTAGCAACTAATTGTGAGAGGATTGTAGCTCAGACCTTTATTATCTAGCTTTATGTCTTTGATACATGATCAAAGGATATAGGGCATTACTAGATGTTAAGGCAGGCACATTGATTCAAAGACATTTGACATCTTGTTTCAACCTAAGCATTTTCATGGAGAGGAAGCAAGTCAGTCTGATGTTTGTATTTGCTGTTGTACAGATGACCACAGTGGCTTCTACACCATTTCCTTGATGTCTTTCTTATTCTCAGTCAGCGTCGGTTCTCCATGATGTTGCTGGAATAATCTTGCTAAAATTCCACATTGGTCATCAGGTCACAAGCTTGCTTTAAAAACTCATCACTGTTTTTCCTAATCAAATCTAAGCCTTTCATAATGCTCTGTGGTCTGGGTCCACCCTAATTGTCTAACTTCAGAGTCTCACAGGTTTCAGGTTTTTCCCTTTGTGTCCTGGATACATGCCTTTACCCTTTCTAGGAATTCCTCCCTGCTTCTCTCCACTTACACAGATCCTCCCAAATCTTCACTGCCCAGTGCAAGGCTTCTTTCTGTGCTGAAGCCTTCCTAGACCTTCCCTGTTCACTCTTCTCTGCAGTGCTACAACCCTCACAGCCTTTACTACACAATGCCACACTTGATTCTAATTGCTCTTACACCATGTGACTTCATGGAGCATGTTAGCTTTCATTTCTCTGATAAGAGCATATAACCTGTGAGGCAAAGTGTCTTCCGTATTCTTTTTGTAGCACATAGTAGGCACTTGTATTTATTAAATAATTGATGATGCATATAGTGAGCTCCTCGCATCCCTTTTCTGTGGCTATGCAACACTTGGAAACTGAGTTGGAGCTGAGCATGCTTGTCATTGCAGCATGATTACATGTGGAGTCTGATTGCAGAGAGGTTTTGCTTTTGGTCCACATTTGATGTTTGTGTAAGTAAACTAGGTTATGCTTAAAAAACAATAAGCAGTGTGAGAACATGTTTTTGACCTCTTCTGCAGTGTACGCCATCCGAGAAGCTGCCACCAACAACCTCATGAAACTAGTTCAGAAGTTTGGTACAGAGTGGGCCCAAAATACCATCGTTCCCAAAGTGTTAGTAATGGCAAATGATCCTAATTACTTGCATAGAATGACCACTTTATTCTGCATTAATGTAAGTATAACATAACTGTTATTGCTAAGCTTAGGCATTAAAGCAAAATTATTCATGACTATTTCTGAATTCTCAATATACTGTCTTCTATTTGGAATATATGTCTTGTATTGATTAATTGGAATACAGGAGATGAGAGAAAATGTCAATTTAAAAATTCATGTTAAAATCTACAGTATTGGCCAGACACAGTGGCTCACGCCTATAATCC